GACCTGCCGATCGTGTACAAGAAGGGGCAGTTCAGACTCTCGTGCTTCACTGACTCGTCATTTGGAGCCAACCCAGACAACGGTCTTCATTACATGACTCGTTCGTGAGGGAAGATTACTTGAAAGAACTACCCTTCCTACGCCTATCTGAAGTTAAGAGATAAATCTTCCTAAACGATAGCCAATGAAACTCTAGAAAAAAATGGAGAGGATGTCTTGCCTACACTGCCATATGGAGATGCTCGTGATGGAGGACACAAAATGCATAAGTACAAATAAATCCGAGTTTTTTTGTGGTTGGTCATATTGTAGTTTAGTATGTTCTTTTTTCTGTGTCTGGTGGAACTCACAGCGTTTTTCTCACATTTTCTTGTGCATGTGTTATGGGATTTGAGTACAAGGATCTTAACGGGAGTTCTCGGCGAGATATGTAGATCTGGCGAGAACTGCAACTCCTTTGGATTATTGCTTAACAGGGGATATAGCCATAGAATCCCCCCTCTCAGCAAGGAGCGGCCCGCGCCCCCTTCCGGTCAGTCTATCTACGGAACTAAGAACAGCAAGTAACAACATATTCGCCTGATTGAGAGCGTAGCATCTGATTGAGAGCGAGATTGCGCGATACGCTGTAGCCGGACTACCACTCAGAGGTATAGCTTGCTGTGTAGCTTGAATTGAAGGGCTAGCCCGTAGCTTCAAGCCGCTACCCTGGTCATCCTGTGGGAGTCTCTCGTTGTGGAGCTACAGCGGGGAGCAGAAGCNCTTCTATGTTGAGAGATAACAAGAAAGAGAACAAGAACAAAGTGAGTCATCATCAGGGCCTTCAGGGATGGCTACGCGTTCTCACAACACATGGCACTCAGAGGACCCGTCGGCGCATTACCCGTGACGTGTGGGGCTCGCTAGACATCGGTGGTGAGCGGGATATCCTCGAGTTAACAACTAGTAGTCTAATGTACTTCGAAGCACCAAAATGATAATAATACTTAGCCGTGGAAAGCTTTGGCCGCCTTGGAGAGGAGGGTTACGAGTTCATCGATGAACTTGCGACACATGCCGTGGGAGGAAGGGACGGAGGAACGATGGCTCTGAAAGGAGTCTTCAAGGAACGACTTCTTCAGATCGTTTCGGTGGCTACACAGGTGGCCATATCTCGGCGAGTGCAGAGGTACAAGCTCGCATTGCGCGGGCGTCAAGACGCCGAAAACAGGCGAACAAGATCGACCTCGGACCAGTCAACGCCAATGATATGGGGATGGAGTGTAGACGCATCGTAGAACGCGTTTTCGTTTGAAGTTGGCGTCTTGTTTGAGAGTAGATGTGACAGATTTGCGTAGAATAGGGTAAGATGTTATCATGAACGGAGATGAAAGGGCTTTTCCAACACGGAGATGTAGCATGGATCAAAGCATTTGTTGGATTTCAGCTTTTACAAGCGGACATCAACGCAGTAGTATTTTAGCAAGCTTACGAACGCATATAGGATACCATCAGGATTGTCATTGGTAAGTTGAAGAGGAGATACTTTTACGATGTAAATGACAGTAGAAATAAGTCCTGACTATGTTGTTGTACTTCGTATTGGTTTAATATTCATGTAGAGTATGAGACATTAAGTGAAAGTTTTCTGAGGTACATCTGCAATTGTCGGAAGGCAAAAATAAATAAATAAATAATAATACTCTCTGTTTTGCCACCCCCGAATACAACGAACGGCGGAGGAGGCACTATGACTGCCCCCCCCGAGGATTAGCCCGTCTCTCCTTGTTCAGCATGATCGAGCTCTTCTTCTGAATGTGCTTCATCTTTTTCTTGGGGTTATTTTCATGCTGGCTGCTTTCTTTCTTTTACTTGTGGTAAAAGACACGGTATGTGCCAAGCAGACACAACAACAAGGTGCCGACGCAGTTTTTTAACACAATTTACATACATACATACATACATATATAAGACTCCCGGGAGTTAGGTGACTTGCCTCCCGGGGGCAAAGAAAAAGGAAACGGCCAATGTCGTTGCGGTCGCATCGTTGCATGTCAAACGTCACGCGATGTTCGTAGTGAGTGCTGGTTCTGCGTACAACCTGCAAAGTATGAGTGGAATTCTTCATCATATGGGGAGTAATTTTTTTCTCGCTGCTACTTTTCGCGTGTGCGTGAGTGTGTGCTGTTAGGCTAGTGATGACGTCTTTGCCGCAGGTGTCCTACTACTGCTGCAATCCGCTGCGTTTGATCACTCGCTCTTATATATTCGTGTTGCCCATGGCTTGTGGGACTTCTGTGCGTTGCCCAGGGATCAAAGAGGAAAACACGTCGCTCGCTCGAAAGTGATCCTGTTCAGTTTTCCCATATACTTGAAGTACAGCCTAGTCTACCGGAAGTTTTTTTTTGTTCTGATTCGAAGCCCCCTGAAATAGAGCCAGTCCCAGCGGAGCAAGATGTGCGGCACGCACAACGCCATGTTTGTGAGGTCAAGATGGCATGGATAAGCGAATACGGGTCAAGGAAATCAAAGTAGACGTGCACGAGAGAGACTCCATGTACATAACGTGGAACAATGGTTGGAGGTAATTCTAAGGCCGGGGCTGGTGCGCAGACAGCACAGTAACTGGGTCGCAGACACGGTGTACCTCGTTGTCGCCATGCGGATCGACCACACCGCCAAACCCGTGGAATCAGCCTCCGCAGACCCTGTATTGGCGTGTCGTTGCGAGGTTGGCGTGTGATCGGAGACACTCAAGCAGCGGCATGGTATCAAACGGTTTTGGGTGTATATAATGCGGCTTTTCGTCCATCAGTGAATACGACTGGATGAAGGCAATTTCTCTCTCATGTCGGCCAGAGGCGTGACAAGCCAGTTTTACTCTCACCAACCCGTGTTCATCTTCAATAATCTCTTCAACCGAAGCCACCACTGCAGTGTATCGAGTCTTTTGTGATTGAGTTCAGGGGTGTGAACGGTATTCAGTTGAACGTACGCAAGGTGCGAACTCCCGATTGAAGGATAAAGCACGAGACGAGGCTCTGGCAACAGTAGCCCCGATCTGGCCCCTCATCTGCTCAGCGACACCTTAGAATGACGCAGCGAGCACGTTTTACACCGCAAGAAAGAGATGGTTGATAAGTGAGTCCACGGGTCTTCACGATTGTACCACACATGGCAATCCCTTTTTACACTGAACTTGGGGTCGTGGGCAATCCCTCTACAGACAGGAGGGTATTAGCCTGTACCCTAGTTTTACTTAAGAAAATGGAGGATCGACCCCTCTTGACGTGAGAGGCCCGCATGCATAATTCACATGTATACTTCATATGCACACTTTAGAAGATGGAAGATCGTCCCCTCTTGGAACTCTGCGACGGGCACGTGGAATAGATAGGTGTAGACTATGCCTAAAACGACGTGTGTGTCATTTTGACGGCAAAATCAAAGCTCTTGGTCTGAGCCGAACAAGTGTCACGATACTTGTGCCCAGGGAACTCAGCAGCAACCTCCAAAATATGTAGTATCCGGGTTTCGATGTTTGTATCTACATTTTACCATACACCAAATGACCCAACCTCGGAAACACTCAGTGGACGCCGACACGATGAGGATGATGCCGATTTGCTTACCGACAAGCGAACGACTCCCGGCTTGAAAAAGCACATGCCACAATCCTATGTGTCATACAATCCAATGTTAACAACACCAAAACACATCGAAGTAGAAACAGGATGCCACTCCAACCACAACCAACAACAACAACAACAACAACAACTCAGAGTCAACATCACACCCTACCAAACCTCAAAAATGCGCGTCAAGCAAATCCCCACCGAACCGCCGGACAAATTGACGCTACCTGCAACCTAGCCACACTACTGCCGTGTGTGCCAGAATCGTTACTTGATATACGAACGAATCGCATGCCTACCCCGCCCGAACTCTCCTTGTTCCCCTTTTCCCCCTCGCAGCACAAGGCAGAAAGCCACAACAATACTTCTGTACGCAGAGCTAGTATTTCTCCCGCCGACGAAAGCCCGCACAGGCGGAGGCATTAAGACACAGCGGGGCATGAGACTGCGCCAAATCACGCACGGCAATCGGGTGCAGGCCTCCCAGCGGCAATCGGGTGGGGTACTTGTCCGCGACCTTACTGCCAGCCAGGGATGCCCCGGCACACCCACGACAAACACACGCAAGCAAGCAAGCCCGGGGATGGCTGATCTATATTGGCGAACTCGGCGGAGAGTCTCCCTTCGAAGAACCGCTCTTGTCCTTCGCCCGAGAAGTTGGTAGCGTGAAGAAGCGAGTGGGGGACGGGTTTGCGGCGGCGGATGGCGAGAACTGGTGCGTGGACTGGTCCTCGACTAGGTCCGAAGACTGGTGCTCGTGATACGGGGTTTGAAGGGTCCGGAGGTTCCAGTTCAGCTTGTCGCGGATGCTTTGGAACCAGTCCCCGTCAAGCTCTCGCTGGTTGACCTGGTCGAACCAAGGCCAGAAAGAATAACACACCGGTAACGGGTCAGGGCAACAACGAGAGTGCGGGGAGAGAGCTTTTCAGACTGGTGTGAAAATTCTAGCCCTTTCCTGTGCTTGGTCCGCACGACAGACGCCAAATCTCTTAAAGGCCGGCCAAGGTATCTATCTACAAGCAAGCCTTAGAAAACGATCAGATACAGCAGTCGATGGAATATATACAGCAGTTTCTATAATACAGAACAGTTAAAGAAGGTTACCATAGAATGACTCAAGCAGCAGTTCGCAAGCACGTGGAAGTGCACGTGCACTTCTGTCGCGTGGCCTAGACTATATGCGGCAGGGTCATATATCATTGTCGTATATCACACAACTTTCGACCAGAAAACAACGGATTCCAAATCAAAGAGACAATCGACACGTGCGAAGGAGAAATTATCGTTAATGCCACTAGATATTCCCACCAAACACGCCCGCAGTAATTTCCATCCACACTTATATTTCGAAGTGAGATCAAAACCCTCTGCTCCTTTAGAATCTCCTTCACACCCACGTGGCAGTTCCAAGTGTCTCTTTGTTCGAAAATGTAACTGCCGTTCGGATACAAATGCCACTATCGACTGGTCATCATATTTCCAAACACAACGAATGCTTCCTCCGAATCGACCCCGTGCGATGGGGCTGGATACTAAATACTTGCAACATAACACAATGATGGGACGTAACGTGTCCCGAAAGACCGACACTGCCTGCCAGCGACAACCCTTCATGCATGCACACAACCCCACAAACAATTAGTGCCGTTGCTGTGCTCCAAAGCCGAAGGGCACAGCACAGCACATCCATGCACGAGCCATAATTGTGCATTCGTACACCAGCACAGAGAGTGCTGTAGGTTGTCGCTCGAACTTACTGTGGGCAAAGGAATAGAAGCCGTAGATAGCTTAACGAAGGTTCCCTTCTTCATCACCACCGCTTCGGTCGCGTCGTGAGACATCCACCCGTCTGCGCGGGCCGTATCCGGAATGCGCACCTGAACATAAAAAAAAAAATCAACATCAACGGCAACAACGACGACAGCAGGGATAGAGACAGCGACAGCAAGAGAGATTACGGGCTTGAGCTTAACGCCTGTCACAACGGCACAAAAGACGGACCACGATTGCCTCTTAGGAGGCAAGCATCACCGGGTGGCCACAGCACCAGCACCCGAGAATTGACAGCGACAGAATGCTCTAGCAGGAAAATACTGCGGAAAAGGAGTGGAAACGGGATACCCACGTCCATGGTTGATTGGCGAATTCGTTATGCCAGTCCACAAGGCCTTTGCACATGATGAAAAGATTTGCCCATCATGACGCTGTTTCACTTTTTTCGCGGGAAGAGACTAATCCGAAACCCCTCGTCGGCTATGATAACCACATGCAAGCGTGGCAAAATGATGCAAGTCAGACAAGAAAAGAACGCCCCCACACTGTAGGAGAAACAAGTCATATACTACATAAAGGCGTCGCTAATTTTCCTACAACCCACTCTACAATGATCTCCGGAGATTACGTCAGGGGGGTGGAGGGCGATGGCTTTAGTTGTGCAACCCATTCTACAATGATCTCCGTATCTGACGTCAGGGCGGTGGAGGGTGATGGCGTCAGGCGTGCTTGCAGGCTCTTCCATGATTGCTTTCCCTTGGTCTTGGTCTTGCCCGATGATCACACCGCTGACACGGGAAACCGGAATCTCCGAACTCTCCCAAAAAGATCGGCTCACCGTGATCTCCGAAGACGCCGAGGTAAGGATGGGGCGGAAGGACAAGGAGTGCGGCGCGATCGGCGTGATGAGCGTCGCCGGTACGAGCGGAGAGACCATACAACCCCCCGCGGAAATGTTATACGCCGTGGAGCCCGAGGGGGATGCCACGATCAGACCGTCACCCTGGGCCGTCGTTACAAGCTCGCCGTCCACAAACACCTGAGGGAGCAGAAGGGGCATAGTAGTGGAGAGTGCCGGTGAGACCGCGTGGCACGGATAGAACTTCTCATTCTCTAACAAATAGTGCCGGGTGCGCGGTATAAAGCCGAACAATCGAACGACACATCCCCGCACTACGTGGGACTTTCGCTGCATGTGTGTGCTACCATATGGTGCCGTGGCACGACTCAACAAAAATTACAAGTGGCATAGTCATGGTAAGGTGGTGGATATGATTGGTGGTGTGGGTCAGGTTTTCAAGGTTCGTCGTGATGCTTGCCATGGGACGCGGAGCGCCCACGCGGGCGGGGGGGGGGAGTTGATGCATTGATGCTGCTCCATCGGAGTGCTGTCATATAGGATTTGTCCATGACAGTGGTGGAGGCAATGCGATACTGTTTGGTCAAGGGAGGTGTAGATACCTTGAACATAGTTTGAAAGCAGCTTGTGACCACGTATTTTAGTGTTCTCGCCCTTGACGAGCAGGTACTGCATGGACGTCAAAATGGCTCTATTAGCGTGACGACGACGGCAACAACGAAATCACCAACAGCAGGTGGTGGTATGCGGTTGGGTGGCGAAGGGCGTCGTGGCTTGGGTGAGGTCCTGTCCTCCTACCGTATGAGTAACAGCAAGGCTCGCGACACTTTGGGATACTCGAACGGAACACAAACAGGTTCCTAACCTGTCCACCTGTCCGGCCGTGCCAGTCGCTACAGTCAGGATAGAGTCGTAGGCTGCGGCAGAAGGACATAGACTGACTCACTTCAAGCGTGCTAAGCACCCCAGAGATGCCTCTGTTGACGATGAACTCGTTAAGGGAGTAGAACACCCTCTCCAGCTGCCCTTCTCTGCTGTACACCTCTCCCCGCAGCCGTGTCCTCAGGGTGACGGAGATTGGCCGCCGGAATGCCTCCAACACCCTGCATGTGACCGATCGATCGATCGACAGTTTCGTTTCAAACACAATTGCGGTCGACCAATATCGCATCCAAGACCCTGCATGTGACCGATCGATAGCTTCGTTTCAAACACAATTGCGGTCGACCAATATCGCATCCAAGACCCTGCATGTGACCGATCGATAGCTTCGTTTCAAACACAATTGCGGTCGACCAATATCGCATCCAAGACCCTGCATGTGACCGATCGATAGCTTCGTTTCAAACACAATTGCGGTCCATCACTATGGCATGTTCTTCCATTGGGCTGACACTGGCAAAACACCAAACAAACCCTACGACAGCACTGCATCTAGTGTGTACTGTGTCTGTTGCTGTCAAGCAACAAATTCGCGGTTTTTTTCTTCCTACTTGAGTAAAAGTTACACCCCGAGTCTCCGGTGAGCTTCCGGCGACACCCCGGACGTTTCCGTGTTGAAGACAGATCAAGAAAGGGCCAAAACATACACACATACTTGATACACAGTAGAAAGCGTGTTTTGCTCCGCTCAAGGCTGACATTATTCCCATCGGCCAGCCGGGTTATAGTGCGGTCGATGCTCCAATTAAAAAAACTCACATCAATCGACCCACAAAGATAGCCAGCCGCTGGTCGCACCTTTTGATCATGGATTGGCACTGCGACGGGTTGAAGGGGGCCAGAAACCCCAAAGATCCCAGACCGAAAGCGAGAGTCGGCGGAATAGGTGTCGAATCGTCAAAGTATTGCGCCGCTTTCAAAACCGTGCCTGCCAGCCGGGAAACACACAAACACACACACCCACACACATCGAAAGTTATTGCCGTTGTCGTTGCGATCATCCCACCCATCTTCGCCTTGTCGTAAGGCGGCTGCAGGTCAAGCGCATCCGAGGCTCCACGAAAACCTCCAAACGACCAGACGACAACAGAGACTGAAAACAGAACGCGAATGATACCTTACCAGTGGAGAGGTTGAGAAGTAATCCTGGTGAGAGGGAACACGCTGAACGAAAAATACTTCGTAATGGACCGCCTGCGCGGGAAAACAGTTCATGAGGAAATACAACAGGGAGGGAGTCCGCAAACCGTACCCCTACCTTAACCCAACTTCCCCGGTCGCGCGCGTTAACTTCATAGAAAAAACCTGATAAGGATTTCGAACAAGATATTAATACCGAACGAGATAAGTCATACCGAACAAGATATTCATACCGAACAAGATATTAATTGTGGCCAGCCTGATAGAGACAATACAAGTCGGACACCGGCTCATCATCCACGTGGTGTAATGACGCCAGCACGAACGGAGACACCGGCAGAGGTAAGCTACATAGGTTGGCGTCCGTGCCTTCTTTCTCTCTCCCTTTGCCGCACATCCTGTTGCTGTAATCTGCTGCTTTTTCTCTCCCCCCCCCCCCCCCCGCCCCTCGCCCCCCCCCCCTCTCTGCCCCTCCTCTCTCACCATCCCCCCCCAAGCAGATGATGAAGTCCGTCTGTGTCGCCAGGTGTCCGGGATCGAACCTCCCCACCTCCGGCATGAACACGGGACCTATCGCCTCCCCGTCGTCCCCCAGCTCGTTATCCTCGGTTGGGTCAACCAAGACAGTCAACTCTTGCGATTGCAGCCAGTGTACCAGCTTCTCTGAAGTTTCGCGGCGGTTCCGTTGCACAAGAGATGAAAGGACGGAAGGTACTTCATTCGCGGAGAGCAGGGCATTCGAAATTACAGGCGGATTACGGTGATTGATCACTGGTCTTTCGGGGGGGGGGGGGNAGTCGTGCATGCCGTAGTCGTTAGACCATTGACCTCGCATCCCTACAAAGCCGGGACGGAGCACGCCGGGTTCTCACCGGACCAGGCTCTCACATCACCAAGCGCGAAGCGCCGTGAGGTACTCGATGAGTTTCATGAAGGGTGCGCTGCATCCTACTAAGGGTGTTTGGCAGCTTGTGCTTACTTCCTTGCATACGGATGACAGCTGCGTATGACTTAATTTATTCTCTGGTGCTTCACTTCCAGAGACACTTGTAAGCACTGTGTAACTGCCTCGAGGGTGCTTGACCATTTTAACACGACGTGGTGCGATCATCCCCCGTGCGCGGAGTGAGGGTTCTCCACCCCGCACAACATGATCCGCTCGACCACCATTATGGTTACCGCCGAAAAAAAACAGAGGTAAAAAAAATAAAAACGGTAACCTGGTTGCCGAGTTCACGAAGTGAATTGGCTTGTTTTACGACGTCGTTGCCAAGCGACGAAAACCCAACCCCGATGGCAAACACACAGGGGGGGGGGAGAGGGTGAAAACAATATCATTTCTCGGCGCTGCGACGCTGCGTAGTCTAGACGTTACAGCACTTTTCTTGGCCAGGCTACTGACTTCTCCGGGTGAGCCATCACCGACAACGTCATGATCAACATCGAGTCCCGACAACGACAACGACTACCACCACCACCATGGCGGTGGAGACGACTACGACTACGACGACAACCAACACCAAAAACAACAACAACAACAACAACAACAACAACAACAACAACAACAGTGACGATTACTACCATAGCAACCACGACGGCGACGACGACAACAACAACAACAACAACAACAACAACAACGACAACGACAACGACAACGACAACAACAGCAACAACAACAACAACAACAACAGTGACGATTACTACCATAGCAACCACGACGGCGACGACGACAACAACAACAACAACAACAACAACAACAACGACAACGACAACGACAACGACAACAACAGCAACAACAACAACAACAACAACAGTGACGATTACTACCATAGCGACGACGACGAGGACGACGACGACAGCGGCAACGATGACCACAACGACAAGCGATACAGTCAGCGCCGGCGTGCAGCAAACGTCAATTTTGGGGTCGAGGCTCTTTCGTCACCACTACTGTCGAGTATAGCTCATAATATGGGGCATATTGTGGGATCCGCGTCTGAGGTGTTTTTTGAGTCGATTCTTCTCATACACCCCCAAAATCTGAGCCTGTGTTTCTTGATCGCGGGCGCTCCCTGTACACACGCGTATCCATACCATACCTGTCTTCGCCGCCACCACGGGGTCCTTCCACTTCTTAATCACCGCCACTCGTCGAGGGGGGCCATCCCAGAATAGACGGGCGCTCCTCCCCGACCTTCGTTTCGGTACGGTTCATTTCGACGGTTTCGTCGACGGGCGACAGGGCCATCAACAAACCGAACACAGAGAGACAAAATACCTTGGGCCTAACCAAAGAAGACGTGCCAACGAAAAGAACCAATGATCGATACATGCACAGAGGTTCAAACGCAAAACACGCAACGATCCCTACGAAAAAACAAGAACCAGGAGTGCAGGTGGAGAGGCCAGCAGTGGTACAAGACGGTCCATGTGCCCACGATAAAGTGATGTACCGTAAGTTGCAACCACAATAGCACAACACCTCGGGCGGATTTTCAAAGCTTGCTTGTTCTACAGCAATATTCAGTGACGGCGCCGAAAACGGCGGCATTGGAACCAAAAACAGTGTTGTTTTGATTTGGCCTTGAACATCGGCCCAAGGCAATGGTATGGCATCATACATCATGCAAACGTACAGCAATGCCGTGCGCTTTTTGCTGGCTCACCGTACGATATTGGAACCGGTGGAAAGACCTATTAACGAGTGCGCTTTTTTATCGGTCAGCACTCTCGCCATCCCGGCGAATCCCATGACGTACTCCTGGAAGTCGATGGTACCACTGCCGCCGAGCAAGCATCAACCCGGGGACGGGGGCGGGGGGGGGGGG